GTAAGGAGGGACGTGCCGCAGTGAGTTCAATTAATACTTCATTTTCAGGCGCTCCCGGAGCCGTCTAGACAGCTTCCTGATTGAGAGTGGTCTGTAGGGCCCGAGTGGTGTTTTGGCCACTGTTCCCTTAATGTAATTACACTTGTACGGTCTCCAAGCGCAAGGATGCACATACGGTTGTCGTGCACATCTGGTGTAAAGCACAAAGCTCCTTACTATTTAAGGCAGGAGCAGCTCACCAGACTTAAAAACCTCTGAGACAGAAGGGATGGTGGAGAGGAATAAAATAGCAGTTATAAATGGGACTCTTTTGAACTGCAAGTAAGGGGATAATCTCGGGCCGAATTTACTGCGGAGACAATAGGGCCGGATTCTGGCACTTGGAGGGAAAACCACGGGGAGCAGGAGGAGCCCTGCCTGAGGGGCTGTAGCGCTTGGCCCACTTGTGCCCTGAGGATACCAGATCTCACCCCCACCTTTAGTTTTACTGAACCGTTCCATCTGCTAGAGCTAATAGGTGATTTAACGCGGGGTTTAGCTTTGCTGGAACATTTTTGGCATATGTCAGGCTTGCCTGTAGCAGAACTTCTTTAACGACACTAAGCGTCCCTGGTGGAACGAAACAACAAAGGCACTTTGCTATGTTTTCTTGTCTCAAAAAATGCTGAAGTGCCATAGTAAAAGCATTGTTTCAGGGGTTCACGTGTGCCCTTATTCCTGATCTCCCAGCCCTGGTTCAGCGTTTGAGAGGTCCCTGGTTGCTTCTGAACCATAAGGTGGTATTGAAGAAATTGTGTGAGGCTGTGGATGCGGGACGGTGCCGAGTATCCTCTTAACATGGGGCTTGGCCACGCTGAGCACTTTGCAGGATTTAAGTTTATTTAAGTTTATTAAGCCTTTCCAGGATTTAAGTTAGGTGGGAGAAGGAGCAAGTCGTGGAACAAGGCGGGGGCTGTAGTGCTGGGAGAGGAGCTTGGAGCGGGCAGGGAGAGGTCTTTGCTGGGACCCCTGCTCTGCTGTGCTCTCTCCCGGAGGAGTCTCATGGGGGCGAAGCGCTGGGCTTGGGAGGCACGCTGAAGCCGAAATCGGTGAAATGGAAAGCCTCTGTGGTGCAGACCTGCTGGCTCCCACATTCTTGGCTGATAAAGCACTGCATTTGTCTCCATAAACCTGCTGGAGGAATGATGCCTGTGTAGCTTTTGACAGTGACGAGTTGCTGGTGTGCGGGGGCTCCCCCGCTGTGGCATGATGAGTTCCTCTCCCTCCTCTGTCCTCTCCGGTCTGCCACACTCTGACTTGGTTTGGGCAGGAACCCTCCCTTTTGGTTCGGTTCACATCCTGCCTTGCAAAATTGCAATGTTGTGGGTTTAGGCACCAGGGCGGTGTAAAAATAGCGTTATTCGGAGTAATAGTCATGATGGGGTTTTGTCCTGGTGAAGAAGCATCCGGCTTTCCCAAGCAGCATGTGCCAGACTGGCTCCCAGCTGGTTTTTTATGGGCGCACATTGTAGTGTGTGCAAACTGGGTTTATGTGCATAGCTTGGGATTCCAGTCGAAGGTGATGATGCAAGGTTTAGGTAGGAGCTTGACAAGCTGGATTCAAAGTAAAGTTAACTCCGCATCGAAAGATCCTGGTCGTTTAACCACTGATGGACCCTTGACGTGTATTGAGCCTCACCAGCTCAAGTGCTTACATCTCCAAGCTAGCTCCCAGAAGCCAACATTACTTCACACAAGTGGTTGAAGATGCAGTTTTGCACGTCCACATTTGTGCAGAAGCAATTCGGCAATTTTCTGTAGATGCTGCCTTTGGTTCTGACTTCTGCTGGAGAATACGCACGCTGGAAGAGATTTCCTGAAACTGCAATTTCGATAGAAAGCATACTTCTCCTAAAAATAAAGTTTATGGAATTCCTGGCATATTTTCCATTTGGCAATTTGCATTAATTCATAAAGGTAAATACACTTATCATTTCAACAAAAAAAATACCTTTGATGACTCCTGCAGGCAAAATGAGTGGAATGTGATATGGATGGAAAATACTCTTATCTGCAGGAAACAACTATTGCCCTGCGGATAAAATCAGTAATGCTGATTATTTTGTTGTTTCAGGAGGACAAAAAATGTTTCATATGTGACTCTGAGGATCCCTTCCATGATACTCTCAATCCTGATAGTCATCGCATTGAAAATGTGGTCACCACGTTTGCTCCAAATCGCCTGAAGCTCTGGTGGCAGTCGGAAAATGGTACGGGGTTTGTCTGGAAGCCATTTGCAGGACCAAGAGCTGCCTTCCCTCCTTTTGTTTAAGGGTACCTTCGCGTTTGCTGTTATCTCTGGCCTGGTGATTACTGCCCTGTGAAGGATCGTGCTGTTCGGAGGAGGGCTGAGTAAAACTGGCTGCTTTTGTGTGCCCTGGAGCGGTCCTTAATCTGTAACAAGCCCCACCAGCCCTCCAGGAGTGTTGGAAAGAGCCATCCCACCGCTTTGTAAGAATCCTTTCCTAAAGAGAAAAGTTTCCCACACTGGCTCCAGATCTCCCTCATGTTTGGGCAGCGGGAGCCGAGCAGCCTTCCAGGAGTAAATATCCCAGGGCAGAGCTGCCAAGGAAGCACCGCAGGGCTTCCCCACACTGGGCTGGAGGGAGGGTGTGGGAGGAGGAGGTTTGGGCGCAGAGCCGGGGGCCGCCATCCCGCCCGCAGACCTCCTGCTTCCCTGCCCTCCTACCCCGGGAGAGCGAAGCCGGGGACATCTCCTACCCTGCAAACTGCCTTCCCCCTCCCAGGCTCCCGAATTCTGCATCCATATGCCAAACAGTAAAATGAACACCAGAAACGGGCCAGCTAGTTAAAAAAAAAAATTGCATGTTACTTTGGTGGCTTTTTTTTTTTTTTTTTTTTTACTCTTCCTCTGCCCTTTTTACTTTTATGGTTATGCTTTTGGCATGGCTCCATACACAAAACAAGGCATTGAGGTTTCTCAAGCAGCAGTTCTATCCTGAAGCCTTAAAGCCAGCTGGACAGGATGGGACTTCTGCAAATGCATTGGCAGTAGCTGTCTTACTGTATATTAAAATAAAATGGTAATATTTGTAACATTTCTGCTGCCCGGTAAAGAAAGGTTTTCACTAAATCCTTTTTAACCATTTACACCGGACTATCAAGCCGCTTGTCTCCAGCGGCTCTCTTCTAGCGTTCCAAATAATTCATGTTTTTTGCAATAGGCTTGGCAGCATTCACACAGAAAAGTTCTTAGCTCATAAGGTCATGAAAATGTCCTTCAACGATAAAAAACAAATGATTCCTTCTGTCCAGTTCATGTTTTCATGTATTCAGGCATACAGCAGAAGGGACCATTGCTGCACACTCCACATAGTTACAGCTGGTTGAAAATTTAAGCAGTTTGTTGGTTTATTATTTTCATTTCTTACCCTTTCTCCTCTCTGTAAATCTTGTTTTATTTTTTTTTTATTTCTAACTACAGTATAATTAGTATCCAGCTGTTTTGAGGGTCTTTTTGCATGACAAAATATTTGTAACTGTTTTTTTTTCCTTTCTGTGTAGCATCCTTGGCCATAGGTAATCATACAACAGAGTTTGGAAAATATTTTGCTTGCCACGCTTTCCTAGCCCTCACGGCTGCAAAGCATGGCGGTGATAGTTGCTTTAAGAGTATTTCAAAACCAGGTTGTAATGGAACTGTTCCTGTGTCTGAATGGACAGGGGAGAAAGGTGGGAAACGGCCCCCACCAGCCATCGGTGAGATTTGGGGTGTTAGGGCTGCAGAAGCTCGCGGCTGTTGCTGCCAGATGAGCTGCAGGGTGTGAGGACAGCCGGGGGTCACCACACAGGTCTGGGCTCAGCATCCTTGCTCGTACCAGCCACTGGGCGCTTTGGTGCCGGGATCCAGCCCACAGCGGTCTCCATCCTTACCCTACATCTAGTGACGTTAGCCATGATACGCAGTCTAAAATAATGGCAGTGCAGGCTCATGCTTTGGGTGTAACGTGTTTGGTGCAGATGATTCCCAGGAATCCCATGTGTGATACACTCTTCAGCAGGTCCTTGGTGTCTCCCCTGTACCTCAGTAACATGCTAACCCTCATGTCCCGTTTTGACAACAGAGCCAAGTGGCAAAGAGTCCCTGTGTCGCTGGAGCGAAGAACTTTGGCAAAATTTAGATGTAGAGGCTGGCGGGTGTCCTTGTTTGCTGCACAGCTTCTTTTCTCTACCCCTGCAGGTTTGGAAAATGTGACTATCCAGCTGAACCTGGAGGCTGAGTTTCATTTCACTCATCTCATTATGACCTTCAAGGTAAGGAAGCCACAGCCTTACCCCAAACCCCAAAACACAAGGAAATAAGAGATCCTATCTATTTGATACTCGGGATTTGGGCCTTGTCTGAGCTGTTTTGCCTGATTTTTTTTTTTTTTTTTTAGAGCTGTTTGATATAACTGGTTAAAGAAATGTAGTGTCCCTGCTGAAGTCATGCAGGAAGGCTGAGTTGTGACTTGTGGTTTGAGTTGTGTTTGAACTCCAACAAGGCTGCAGAAGGAGTCATACTGAAGCTGGTGGTTGTGTTGGTGTCTGCTGGTTGTGTTCTAGAAGATCATTAACTAAATCGCATAGTAGCAAAGATTTGTTTTTTTCCTTAAAAAAAATTGGCCGTGGTATCAGTTTTCATTTGGCAAATGGAAAGGTCTTCAGGAAGAAGGAACATCTGTACACAAAGTGTCTTTGTTTCTTTACAAACAGATGTCTTGGAATGGTGGATTATCTCCTGTACATCCTAAATCACAGGCAAACGTTAGTGGCAACCTTCAGCTGAGTTTTCAGGGGCTGCAGTTCCTGCAGGGCTAAATCCATGCTCTTTGCATGTAGGCAAATCAACCTCTTAATTTTCACCCATCAACATTCTACAAGAGCTGGTTCCTCTTTCCTGTGGCATCGGCATGGGTTTCTCACCCTGCCCCACGGTGGTGGCTGAGGTAGAAGGTGGTCCTTTCTGCCGGCCCCCAGCAGCGAGGGACCCCCAAGAGAACCCTGACCCCATGCAGGTGCTGCAACCATCGTGCCCCAGTGCCGATGGTCTTGGTCTGCTGTCAGGAGGAAGACTGCAGGGGAAGGATAGTCTTGATGATGTTTTGTTGACTTTGTTTGTGTGGTAGACACTTGAGCTGCCTTACTCTCTTGAGTTGCTACATTTTTTGTTGGGTGAGATACTAGTTTGTAAGCTGGGTGATATTTTCAGCCAGGAAGCAAAAAGAAAATTTCTTTCCAGCTGTGACTCAATGCTTTTGTGCTTGGCCCTTGGAGGCCTTCCTCTGAATACATAAACCCATTTGACGAAGGGACTGTTGGCATTTCTTGGTAGGGGCAAGCCAGATGTTAAATGAATATCTGCTTTTTGAAATGCAGCTCATAAATTGAAACATGAGATTTTTAGGTCAGAGGGACTAAAAGTCTTTTAAAAGTGTCATTAGCTAGTTGTTCTGGAGTTGAATACATGTAGATAAGAAGGACAGTGGTTTGCATGAAGCGAATGCAGCCTGCTGGAGTCTGGGCAAGGCCAGCTGCAGTAGGGTCTCTGGGACTGGGGGAGTTGAATGCAGCAAGAGTGGATGAAGCTGAACCTCTCAATCTCCTTAAAGAAAGTTTTCTTAATGCAGCGCAGAGGATGGCTGGCACTGGGCAACAGAGATGCTGTGAAAGGTAGTGTGGTCAGACAAAGAGAGGTGGGCAATCCTGGGGCTTTTCTGAGCATCAGAGGTAACTGCTTAGCAAGAACTTCTGGGCATCAGAGCTGGAAGGGGAACACTGAAAGTGGCTTCCCGGTCCCCAAGGCAGGAGAAGAGGCCCATTAGGTCCTTTGCAGAAGATTAGGCAAGGAGGTACAGCAAGGAAGAAGGCGGTGCTGCTTTCCACAAGCAGTGGGGAAAAAAACCTTTTGTCTCCCTAAACCCCTGCTTCAACTCCCAGTTTTGAGAAAGGGTTTTGGACTCCAAAAAACCTTACAAGTTTGCTTATTTATTGCAAGCACATTTAAGTGCTTGGCCACTGAGTGCTGTCTTTTTAAAGGTGGGTAGTCTGTGGCTTGATGTGCGTTATTTCAAAGATCTTCCTCTGAGCAGAAGGTGGGATATCAGCAGAAAAATATTTCCAATATTTCCAAATATTGGAAATAGTGCAGGGAGAGACATTAAAATCCAGACATGTGGATTGCTCACACCTAAAAATGCTCAATGGAAATGCAAGTAATAATTAACCGAATAAAATCTCTTTGGTTTTCTTACTATTAGACATTCCGTCCTGCTGCAATGTTGATAGAAAGATCATCTGATTTTGGAGAAACATGGCAAGTATATAGGTATTTTGCATATGACTGTGAGAGCTCATTTCCTGGGATTTCAACTGGACCCATGAAGAAAGTGGATGATATAATTTGTGATTCCCGATACTCCGACATTGAACCTTCAACGGAGGGAGAGGTCAGAGGCAGGGGTTCCATATGTTTATCTTACAGATTTTTTCCATACAAATTCAGATTCTCTTATTTTTGAAGCTGGATCTTCTGTTGTACCCTTTTTCCTGCAGGTAATATATCGTGTTTTAGATCCTGCTTTTCGAATTGAAGATCCATACAGCCCACGGATTCAAAGTATGTATGCAGTTACCTTCCAGGCTTATTTGAAAGCATTTCTGTACTTACTAACTAACTAATCAAAAAACAATAAGCCACAAATAAAGCTATGCATGAGCCCCAATAACAGTTTTGAAGTCGTATGAATATGTTTGTGGTATGGCTTCTTTTCCTGACGCAGACAGTGACAGGCTAGGAAATAATGATCAGTGTTGTCAACTCAAGTGATTGCTCTTGCAATCATTGTAGTTGGTCCTTTTCTTAATTGATTGGGGAATCATTTTCATTAAAGACCATCCTCCCCAAAATACATGCAGTTGCTGATGGAAACCTTGGAACGTGATCCCATAATTGTACAGCATTCAGAAAGCAAAGAAACAGAACTATGAAGATACTTAAATAATTTTGTATTTCTAGCTAAAATCAAGCGGGCTGCATTTTATTTTTTAGAATACCTGAGTCATGACTTTTGCACAGTTGGCCTCGGTAGTACTGCGTGGCTGGACCACACAGATGCGGTCATAAAACACACATGACTCTAGCATGCGTGTACGGTCATGACAATCCAGGAGCGCAAAGGTAGAGAGGTCTGTGGTGTAATGTGCCTCAAAGAGAAACCTCCTGAGGCATTTGGCCTGAGTAGGGAACTGCAGTGCTTAGCCTTAAACTTGACTTCCAATTTAATATTCATTCTCAGCTTTGGTTCATGTCCTTCAATGTAAAGCTAACTGGAGCAGAAGAAAATACCTGAAGTAGAAGCGTCTGCTATATTGGTTGCATGTTTTTTAACCAAAGTTTTAAAGGGGAAACTGTGAGAGAGAGACTGCTTTCATGGGCTTGAAGTGCTTTTTCAAGCCTAGTTTGAAGGCTGTAAGAAATTATACAGGATTCATAATATCAAAGTGAACATGAAGACTGAATTAATTACTGCAATATTGTCTTCCCATGGATTATATCCCTTGAGAACTTCTCCTTTGCATTTGGTCAGTGATGGAGTGTTGCTTCTTTCAGCAAAATGTGACTAATTCTATTTGCTAGGCAAGTTGGGCGTATAAGAAAGAAGAATATATTCTTGTCTTGTTTCTAACAAAGATTTTTTCCAAAAGGCTCGTAACTCTTAAAGCTCCAGGTCTGTTTATCAGCGGTTCCTTAATATCAGGTCCTTGCTCATTTTACATTTTAAAACCCCAAGGAACCAGTATTTTCTTGGTGGTACTGTTGCATGTGCCTCTAGTATTTGTGTTGGTGGCTGTGTATGCCTACAATAAAATAGACTAGTATTTTTAATTCAGCTTAAACTAATTTATGCAGTGATCAACCTGTAGTAAAACAGTGTATTTTTTTTTTAATTTGGGAGTATGAAGTGATGTGATGTGTAGTACGTAAGTGCTGAAATTAAATCTGATCTAATCTGCGTGTAGAAAGTGTGCTTGGGAAGTCACGCCTGTCTTCCTCCCATTCAATACAACAGCTGGTAAATAATTCCAAAATGGAGGGTTTTTTTGTGTTCCCTGCAGACCTATTAAAGATCACAAATCTGAGAGTCAAATTCATCAAGCTGCACACACTGGGAGATAACCTCCTGGACTCGAGGATGGAGATCAGGGAGAAGTACTACTATGCCATCTATGACATGGTGGTTCGTGGGAACTGTTTCTGCTATGGACACGCCAGCGAGTGCGCGCCAGTGGATGGCATTAATGAAGAAGTGGAAGGAATGGTAAATATTCACTTTTCTCCACAAAGTTATTACTGTCTCTGCCTCTTTTAAGCGATTTAACCACACATTTAAAGATGACGCTCTGCCTCCCCTACTCCCCGCCCTTAATTTTCAAACAAGAAAGCCATTAAATCTACTCCTCCTCAGCAAACAAATCTGTCATTATTGGTGTAACCAAGCATAGAGAGCTCAGATTAGGTGAAAATTGGTATAGCATTCCTTTTCTAATTATGTTAAAGAGCTGATGAAATTAAAAGCCAGGAATGCAGCAAGGGAGTGTAACCGTATGGGGCCAGAGCCGGGTGTGTGCGTCGACTTGTTTGCCCTAAAATTAAAGTGAATAGAGGCATCAAAGGATGAACCACCTTTGTGAATCAAACATGACCTGCATTTGTGTCGGTTATTATCAGCTGAGAAGTGGAGGCTGTAGCCCTAATTAACAGCAGGGTCTGAAGGAAAATCCTACCGCCTGCATTGTACGCTGCCGCACCAGTGCCACATCCCTTCTGGGTTCTGGTTTTCCCCATGATTTTTGCCTGACAAGCAGTAATAGCACCCCTGTTAATGAGTGAGTTATTCACTGGATGAAAATGTGGAGGCATATGGGGAGGTTGTGTGGATTGCCTCAGGGGCCGTGGGTTGCCGGCAGGCGGGTATGCTCTGTTGCCCCGTGCTTTCTGTGAGCATCTCCATCCAGGCAGCAGCAAGACTGGCTTTGACTTTAAAGTCATGGCTCCAGTGCTTGTCGTCACCATCATCTAAGGCAGTGGCTGCCACACAGTCACTGTTGGCCTGCTTAGTGCTTGTTCTGTGCATGTTGAAGGCAAAGTCTGGGGTTGGTGGATAAAACTCATCCAAACCAGCTGTTACCTTTGCTTCAAGAACCAAGGTAGGTCTGGAAAGAAGGCGCTGGGCTAGTGCTGATATAACTTGATGCATCTTAATAGCTAATTAACAGCTAATAAACAGCTAACTTTTAGGTCCAAGAGCCTTTTGTGATTATTTGGGTGGAGCTGTGCTCTCCTTGTTCATTCTGAAAGCATTTATTCAGGCATTAGTTCCAGCAAGGAAAGGACAGATTCGTAAAAGGATATTCTTACCTTGGCCGGTAAAGGACGTTCCCTTATGTCCTCCTATGTGCAGTTATGTGCATTAGAGTCTGCAAAAGTATACCCATTAAGTACTTGCTATATTTTGCATTTATTGGAGCTTGTGGTTTTCGGGGGGGGGGATCCTTCCCCTTTTATAACCAACTATAGGGGTTTTTTTTCCTTTTTTTAATGACAGGTCCATGGACACTGCATGTGCAGACATAATACCAAAGGCTTAAACTGTGAGCAGTGTTTGGATTTCTACCATGACTTACCCTGGCGACCCGCTGAAGGCCGCAATAGTAATGCATGCAAAAGTGAGTTTGAGTAAAATGCAGATCTGGAGCATGGTGTGAGCATTGTATATAAGTCCTGCATGTTCTTTGGTTGACTTAGGTGTGTCTTTTCTGCAAGCTTGCATCTCCCCCGGGACCAGACTCTCTGCTTTCTGTCTTTGTCACAGAGTGCAACTGCAATGGCCACTCCAGCCAGTGCCACTTTGACATGGCCGTGTACATGACGACGGGGAATACCAGCGGTGGAGTGTGTGACGACTGCCAGCACAACACTGTAGGACGCAACTGTGAGCAGTGCAAGCCCTTCTACTTCCAGCACCCGGAGAGAGATCTGCGGGACCCCGACGTCTGTGAGCGTAAGTGCAGCCCTGCTTCTCAGGATGGGAATGGCCATGGCATCCCAACTGTGGACCCCCAGGGCTTTCCCTGGAGAGTTTAGGATCTACTGGCCTTCTTTTGGCCAGTGTCATGCTCACAAACAAAGATCCTTGAGGGATGGTGGTTGTCCTGGAGGTCTTGAGGAAGCCTGGCTGGGTTTTGTTTTCTCTTTGAGAATCTGGAAATTTATCTGGTCGTTACGTGTTCAACCCATGTAATCTCTAATACTTGCAGGAATGATACACGCTTTTTACACAGCAGCCGAGTTTAAATAATTCAGTGTGAGACTTGGCCTTTTCTTTTGTAGCAGTTAATAACACACGCACGATGCTTCCTTCTTAGCTTGCAACTGTGACCCAGCTGGCTCCCAAAATGGTGGCATCTGCGATCGCTACACCGATTTCTCCACTGGCCTCATTGCCGGACAGTGCCGTTGTAAATTATTTGTCGAAGGGGAGCGCTGTGACCTCTGCAAAGAAGGTTTCTATGGCCTGAGTGCCGATGACCCAGCGGGTTGTCAGCGTGAGTAAAAACATATGTTCCTTTATGTGTGATCAAAAGCTCTTTGAGGAGCTGTTAGAGCTGGGAGAAGTTGGTTTGTGGGGTGGTTTTCTTCCCTTTGTTTCATGTTTTTGCTAAAGGAGAAACATTCCTGTAGATTTGCTGTCCACCCGCCCTTAAAACTCAGTTCCCCAGCTGATCCTTGTAGTGCATTCAGTGGAAATAGCAGAATCCTCCTTATTTGTTTTTAATTGTAGGTCTCTAAGTTGGGGAGGTTTTACTGGGATCCGGGGTGGGCAAAGTGTGCAGTTAATCTCTGTCCTGGGGAATTTAGGGGAAGCTTTAATGTAAATATTAAGTTGAATACTGTCTAAAATGTAACTCCAGTCCTGTGTTTTGACCTGCCTATTTGTATTTCCCAATCTAGCTTGTGCATGTAATCCTCTGGGTACCCATCCCGGGGGGAATCCTTGTGATTCAGAGACGGGAAACTGCTATTGTAAGCGCCTGGTGACAGGAAAGCAGTGCAATCACTGCCTGGTGAGTAGCTCACCATAAAATAAATGAGGAGATGCTGGTATGAGGGGGGCTGGTGTGCCGAAAATGTGCAGCAAGGTCTCTGCCCACCCGTGAGCGGGCATCTGGCGTTCAGGCTGGAGCGGGCACCTCAGGATGTCAGGAGCCATGAAGTACGCTGTGTTACAGGGAGCTGGGAGGCACATCCAGGCAGATAAGAGCATCCAGAAATTAATTCCCGGGACCATAAGGAGTGAGACATTACGATACCTGTTGCTCTGTGAAAATTAGGGATCTGGGACAGTTCTGCTAGAGCCCTTGCTGGGGTGAAAGACAAAACAGTCAAAGAAGCAGTGTTAACAAAAAAATTGCGTTCTATGCAGGCTGTTATTTTAAGCAGGGATTATTTTGTACACATACATTTCCATATAGTGTTTATGCATGCTGGAGTGTTACAGAAACACACTGTCAGATAACTGGATGTGTTTGTATAAACACTGACTGGCTGTCTTATCTGACAGTGGACTACATGGAAAAGCTAAACAAGTCTGTCTGTCCACCGAGCAAGTTGTGGAGTAGCAGCCCTGCAAGGGCAGTGCCCCAGTGCAAACCCCTGCTGCCCCACGCGTGGCTCTCTGCTGCGGTGTGATGTACCGGGCTGTGGTTTTCCAAGCCCTTCACAGGTTGGAAGCTCCAACTGATGTAAATGGTGTAGTAGGAGTGAGGTCTCCGAGCTGGGATCCTCCTGAGTCTTACTTTTAAACCTGTGTGGAAATACATGTTTTTTTTCTGAAGCCCCTGAGACAGTCAACAAGGTGGAGGAGGGCAGGTGGGGAGGTTGTGTTGGTGGTTGTGGGTCTAACCCCACAGCCAGGGGAGCAGGATTCATGGCTGGGGGGCTGTCTGGGGTGGCTTATGCTGAGTATTTCAGAAAGTGCCTTTGTGGTAGATGGGGTTAAATTGGCATGGGGCTACAGTGCTGGTGATGTTTCCTCCCACAGCCTGAGCACTGGGGCCTGAGCAACGACATGGATGGATGTCGGCCATGCGACTGCGACCAGGGAGGAGCGCTGAACAACAAGTGAGTCTCAGCCCAGTTTTTTTCCTGTAATCATTCACCCCAGTGAGTTTCGCTTCATTTGCAACCACAACATCCAGGGCTTAATGTTCTCTGGAGGGGGACGTTTGGGACGTCTTTCTGCTCCAGCGTGCAGAAAGCAGCAGGTCTGGATTGCAGCAAGGGGTGACAGAGGCATCCGTGTTTTTTCCGTGCTGAGCAGCCTCCGATTGTGCCACTGGTGCAGATGAACACATAAAACTGTTTTTAGTGTAGCTCTGCCTTTGGTCAGCCAGGGTAGGAGCCAGCTGTGGGTTGAGCTCTGCCTGGGTGGTAACCCAGGGTATGGCCCGTGTCAAAGCTTTGCTCTCACAGGATCAAAGCAGGAATTGGATGGTGACACGGGACGTCAGGGTGGCTCTTGGTTTGCTCCTAAACTTGGCTGGCCGCTCTGCCCACCAGCGCTGCGGGAAGCGCGCTAGCTGCACGGCGCTACTGCTTTGCCCCAGTGGTACTGCGTGGGGTGGGATGTGAACCTGGATGTGCCCATTGGGGAGGTGGAGATTTTTCAGAGAAAAGCGTAGGTTTCGAAGATGCATCCACCAGTAAGACCATGGAAAGTCCTGGCTTAAGTACCTGGTCAGAGGGGTGCTGGGCAGCGAGGTTGCTCCTCCGACCAGAGCAGTTTTCTGTGTGTTAGGTGCATGTCCAGCCCCAGGCTTTTCAACAGCAGCACATTCCTTTGCTCTCTTCCCGCTCCCCTTCCCTCCACAAACCCTTTGAAATGTCCTGCTTTTGTCTAAAGCCACGGAAGTTTCCCACTGGAGCCCGCAGGACCACACTGGGTGAGTTTGGGACTGGTCCCGGTGTGACTCCTGTAGGTCGTCGCAGCCTGCGGACACCCCATCTGTGGCCGGGATCACCGTGGGAATGTCCGTGGGCCGTCCCTCCCCTCCACTCCCGAGTGAATTATTACCCTTTGGCAGACAGTGGTGTGGCTCTTAGTGATTATTTACTCCTCCGTGCTCCCTGCGCACAGATCAGTTACGCCGCACAGCTCATAAC